GACCCCAAAGGTCGCTGCTTTTCCCTTGTATACAAACCAGTTAATGGCAGCCATGTAACTGCTCCTTCTTTAAGAAAGATGCAGTGTGTCCCTGTGAATGTGCTGAACCTGATGTCAAGGAGGTGACACACGTTTAAAATTAATTGCCTGTTTTCCAGGCTGCAGCTGTAATGAGGCAGACTCAGGAGCTTGGAAAGAGGAATCCTCTGAGCAGCCTGTGTGTTGTGAAATGTATTTAGAACAATAGCTGCTCTATTCTTTAATGTCGGGCTTGGTCTTGCTCCCTCTGAAAGCTGCAAGAATGGAACTCAATCTTTTCAGCTTGTCAGTGGCATAGACACACCAGCTTAGTCTATTTATAGCCCTGAACCATTTAATTTTTCTTGCCTCTATTATCCATTTATCAGCCTTCAGATAAAATGCCATGTAGTTGCTAACAAATGCCGTCTCTATCCTGGCCATCAGAGCCTTCTCAGAGAGGGGCAGTCTGTCTCCCTCTGGGAAATGGCAATCTCTAGGTCAGAGATGAGGAATCCAAACCGTAGCTGCAATACTAAAATGTCTTGCAATTAGTGCCTAGTCAGAAGTGTCGCTGCTCTCTTTCTTTCAGTATTAAATGTAATTTTTCTTATTTGTTTAGGGTTTTCACATTTTCTCTCCAGCTGATTAAATATTGAGGCTGGAGCACCATAAAGGCCAGTCTTGTATTTCTCACATGTTTGAAAGGGAAAATATTTATTGTCAAGGTTTGGAACTTGAGTCTGTTCTGAAACAAAACAAATGAAATTTGCTACTAAATAAATTTAATATCAAATTGGTGTACACAAGTCACTTGAAACTCATTAGGTACACGAAGACATTGAAATGTCAGCTATGTTTTCTTTCTAAAGGCCAGAGATTTCTTTTGCATGCAATAGGTCAGAAGCATTTTTCAGGAGAGTGCCAAATACTCCCAGGAGCACTGGCTACAGGCACCAATCAGCTTTCACATTTATTTTGATCCTTACAACTCAGAGTAGATTAATAATGGAATTCTAATGAAGTTCCACATGAAAACAAGCTATGAATGCATTGCTGGCATACAAGGACATGAACTTTCTCACGTAGAATATTATTCATTTAGCTATTTTATATAATTATTTCAAAACCAAAACAATTAATGAAACAGTTGAAGAGAATGTCTGACAAGAATGACACTTTCCTTTGCAAAGAAAACCTCACAGATACCATTTTAATGCTAGCAGGATCTGAGGTCACACAGAGTGAAAGGTCTTGCCTTTCATATAGTGCTAATGAAGAAGATTTTGCTATACTGAACTTGACCCACCACATAAAGCTCTGCACTGAGGATGCTGTGTGCTGTTTGCAGGGCACAGCCTCTCTATCTCAGCAGGTCAAGTGCACCCTGAAGGTGGGGACAGGCCACCCCAAGCACTGGCAGCAGGGCCCAGACATCTTGTTGTTTTCTTCAGTGTTGCACTCCCCACAGAGGCCCTCTCTGTGGGGTGACAGTGGGATGGCGTGCTGGGCTGCAATTTTAGATGTTGCTACTTTTAAATGTAAAAATCGCTCATGGATTCCCAGTTTAAAACATACATTAATTTCTGACTCTGGTTATAGGGGAAGGGAAGAAAAGAAGGTAAAGTCCAGTGCCCATAGCCTTCCTTTCTGAGAGAGCTTCAAAAATGCTCACATTTTTGTATCATCAAAAACAAAAACTGTAGCTCAAGTAAATACCCAGCTTTTCATTGTCCGTATTGCTTGTCCTCTGCACTAATGCCAACCAACATCTGTTCCAAATGAGAACTTCAGAAATAATGAAAAAGAAACTGAAGGTAACAACAAAATAAATAATGCATGGAGCACTGATCAGACTCTGAACCTGTGTACTCAATTCAGTAGTAAGCTCAATATTTAGAGTATGGTTACATGCTAAAATGAGAATATTCTATTTTCCACCACCTTCTCTTTTTCTTTCCCCTTTCCTTTGCTCTTCTCTGGCTCTTGAGGAGCTGATTCAAGTTCCTAAGCCACTAGAAATCACATCCAGAAAAAAAAAAACCAAACAAAAAACCAGGAGGTTTCTGCTGGGTTACTGAGCTAAAATAGGCCCACCATATGGTCAGCTGGAGGGAGGGGGTGGGATTGCATGGCCAGGAGCAGTACTGGCCACAGGATGGAAAGCAGAAGGATCAGCAGAAAAACTTATTCTTGCTGTCAGGATAATTTTCTTCACATTTTTCTTTAGCTTAAACTGAGGCAAAGACCAGAACTGATGGGAGGCAGGGTAGCACATGACTGGTAATCAGGAGGGAGAGTAGGGATGTGGCAAATAGTAATTTGTTTGGACAAAGCTATTTTGGAAATGCAGGTTTAGCTTCTTGGTGGTGCCCAGAGAGCTGTTGTCACCAGAGAACACAGTCTCAGGCTGCAGAGGGGACTGGAGACTCAGGTGACAGAATCCAGGTTGCTCTGGCTGCAAAACAAGCAGCAGCAGATACCTGGCATACTGATCAAAAGGGTAGAGATTTGAAAATTAATAGTGATGTAATAAAAAGACACTGAATAAATATTCTCAAAGATTTGTGGTGTATATGGATTTCATATTTCTATAAATCATGCAGCATTTCTCTTTTGTTGGTGAATTGGCACTTCCCAAACTGGTGCATCGGGCAGTGATGTTGCTAAGCCATAAAAGGCAAAGACTTTCAAGAGTGGCTGTTTAAAGTTAGGGATCAAAGGCCACACTTAAGTGCCTAAGTGGGTGTGTGGTTTTCAGAAGTGCTCAACACTACCACTTATCATCAATGGAAGCTGCTCTGAGTCTTAGGCCTCTGAAAATAGGGCATTAAGTAGTAGTTCATAGGACTTGAAATACATTTTTAAGCACTGGATAGTAAGTTGGTCAGGATAGTAAGTTAGACTGAATGAAAAATCTCAGAAAGCAGGAATAAACGCCATTAAGTCTGCAATTAAAGAATGGATATATTTATTTTCTAAATTATTAATCCAAAATATTTAATGAAAATATTTAAGCAATATGCAGAACCATTCCAGTGTTAACTTCACTACTTCACTGACCTCTTCAAGCATTCAAGACTGAATTACCTTAACAAATGCTGGTGACAGAAGTCTCCTATTAGGTGTTTGACATTGTAAGAGGAAGCCATGATTTCCATTCCTTGGGAATAGGATGTTAGCATGAAATGACTGGTACTGCTTTGGACTAAGAAACATTTCATTTTTCCACCATATAACTCTCTAGAAAACAATATATTCTGAAGACAAACACAGACAACTGTAACAGTAATGTTTTATATTTGCCATTACCTGCTTTTCCCAGGGCTCTTCTCAGCTATCAGGCTTAAGAAGTGGGATGATACTCTAGGCAATCCTCAGCTGGGGAAACCTGGTCTTAAGATAAAACCTCTCCTTCCACAAAGAGGACTTTAAGTTGGAATAAAAACTGTTAATTCAATTTCTTTCTGAAGGAGTCTGCTCTTACCAGTTCTCTCTCTCTCCTTGGAACGTCGGCTAAGACCTGCTTTGGTAACAGAGTCCTGTCTGACACAATTTCAGTGTCATGTACCTCATCACGTAAAGAGGCCTTTGTAAATAACACTTCACACAAGGCTGACCCAGCCAAGTATGCCACAAGATTGACTGTAAACAAACATATGGTGGAGATACGTCTTTTTCAGGGAGACAAGAATGGAAGGGAAAATTGAATCATCTTTGAGGTTACATACATACATTTTACACATGTAAAGCTTTGGGAATCTGAAGTTATTCATTATACACAAGAATAAAATGGACCTGTTGGAGTGAGTCCAGAGGAGGCCACGAAGATGATCATAGGGTTGGAACACCTCTCCTACAAAGACAGGCTGAGCACATGGGGTTGTTCAGTCTGGAGAAGGCTCCATAAGCAGACTTACTCCTAAAGGGAGCCTGCAAGGGAGCTGGAGAGGGACTTCTCACAAGGGCTTGCAGAGACAGGACAATGGGATAATGGATTTGAACTAAAAAAGAGTAGGTGTTGATCAGATGTTAGGAAGAAATTCTTTGCTGTGAGAATGGTGAGACCCTGGAACAGGTTGTCCAGAGAAGGTGTGGATGCTCCATCCTTGGAAGCGTTCGAGGCCAGGCTGGATGCAGCTTTGAGCACCTTGGTCTAGTGGAAGGTGTTCCTGTCCATGGCAGGTGGGTTAGACTTAGATAACTCTTAAGGTTTCTTCTAACACAAACCATTCTGTGATTATAGGATTCTATGACATGGTTAAGAAATCAACTCACTGCTGCCTCTGGAGAGAAGAACCAGGGACTGGATGTAGATTGGTAAACCTCAGACCTGTATTTCTTGATTTGGGAGGTCATTTAATGACTGTTTGTGATATACAAGGTGTAAAAAATTTGCAAAGATATCATATTCAATCATATTCTCTGAAGAGTTGGAAATCAGACAGAGTGTCACAGGCCTGAGCATATAACTTGTGAACTGAGAGCCTGAGATGCTCTTACAGAACCCAGAGAGCTGGAGTCCTGTCAAGGCATTCAGCAGGGCCTCCAGAGTTTTCAGCAGAGCAAAGATGCCTGCTTTACTGTGAATTGATCAGCCTCTGAAATTCTATGGATTTTACTGGCAAGATCACTGTAGGCTATTATAGGATCTTGAACACCTAGACTTTATGTAGGCACTTCCAAGAAGAGATTAAAATTTAGGTATGTTAATGTTTAGATATATTAATGTAAGCTGAAAGTCACTCCAGCTGTTGATGCTACAATATACTTCAGCGGCACCTCTGCTTTTCTCTACTATGCTTTAGCAGGGGAATTTACTGAAAAAAACCCAACCAAACAACAAAACTGTAGGAGGGAGCATGTAGCTGATTGTGAGAGTCAAAAATAAATGCAGGACATTGAGAGTTATGGGGACCCAGCTTTCTGTTCTGAGGTCTCTGTTCTCACTGAAGGTGGTAGAAGGCAGATAAAACTGTTACCTGCAGAAATTTCCATCTGTCTCTGGGAGGGTCAGAGAAGCCATGGGATTCTTCAGAAGATCTGTCACAGTGCTATCCTTTGGTGTCACGTAAAAGAAAGGGATTCCAGTGCTGTTATTGACGGGACCATCACTGAGAAGTAAACAGTTCCCATAGGGCATACCTTGGATCTGCAAAATCCAAATAAGCAATTGGTTACATATTTATACATAGACAGTTTTCAAGGTGGGGGATTTTCTCAAGGGTTCTAGCAGAGAAAACAGCCAGCCCCATTGCTCCCACTTTCTGTTGTCATTATGAGAGAGCGTTTCTTCTAAGTTAGATCTATCTCCTCTACATTAATCATGCTTCTATGAAAACAGATCTCACCTCTAGTCCTGTCCATGACTATAGAGAATATTTTCTCTTCCACTAAGCTTAAAGGAACTACCAAATTTAAAATGTTTAAGTGCATTAGTATATTTTTTTCCTGCCATTGATGTCAGGAAATGTTTACTCTAAACCACTGCTGGTACCTTTCTTCAAGCCCAAAAGGATATAGAGCCTAATTTAGCTTTGACTCAGCCTGCTTTTTACTCTAATATTGCCTTCTCTTTTGGTTTTGATTTACAATGTGATTGCATGGGTTTGCAAAAACAAAAAAGAAATCATTTTAGCTAGAATTGGGTTTGAAGTCAAACTGGACATCAGCTCAGCTTCCTGGGCAGGAACATTTGATCAGAGGGGTGTCTCAACTACCAAGCCAGCTAAGGCAAAACCTCCTCCCATGGCAGAGAAGGGACACTGAGGAGCCAAGTTTTCAAAAATATTTTCTCCCATACACTGACCTGTGTACACACAGTGGTTATAATGCATGCAAAAATGTTCTTGCCCAGTATTGACACTCATTAATATACTCCAGTATACTCCTACTATGCTTTGTCCCATTACAATATATATATATATATATAAATATATAAAAAATATATATTATATAATATATATATATATCCTATTATAAATAGTAATGACAAATATTCAATTAATTGCTCCTTTATTTTCCTTGTCTTCAGATATTTTTCCCTTGTCTCTTAGACGTTGAACAGTAAAGTTATCCATCAATACATTAAATCTTTTACAACAAAATCAAATTAAATATTAATAGTTAATAAGAAAACCCTGGAGATGTTGTTACCTGGGTAGCTTTCTGATTTTTAATGTTTATATGCCTTTAAAATTTTAATGCTTATAGTGCTTATAAATGGCCTTTGTTGGCTTTCCTTAGAAGTAATACTTTCATGATATTACATAATTTAGAAAATAAAAATATCGCTTATTAATAAGGGTTACAATTTAAAAAAAAAAAAAAGCTCTCAGTAATATTGCAGGACATATTCCCATTGCTTAAAATAGTCTGTCATGCAAAATCAGTGTCACACTGGATTTTCAAAAATAACTGATCACACGCAGCATAGTTCAGCATTCAAAGCAGCAAACACCACCACCCGAATTTCAAATTTTATTATGAATCAGATTTTTCTGTACTACTTCTGTGCTCTGTCTGGAGGAAGATAACTGCAGACTATATTACGGCTGTAATTCCACTGAGGGTTTCTGGTGAGAGCATAAACCAAGAGAGTTACAATCACATGGTTTAACAGGATTTCCAAAAGCTGAGGCAGAATTACAGGCCTCTTCTGTCTACGTAAAAATTCATTTAATAGTATTTTTTTTCAATCTGTTACTTTGTATTTCACAATAACATTAAGTGCCGCTAACTCAGCCAAGTTTCTGAAGACTTACGTGTTTCTAAATTTAATGTAATATTGTAAGCTAATTAATGGGTGAATAAGATTCACAGATTCTTTCAACAGAAAGTTAAGAATGTCTTTTGTATTTATTTATTTATTCCCCTTTTGTCTGAGTGTTAATGGATGCTGTGTCTTATCCCAACATTTCACTTTTAGAAAGGCAGTATTTTAAAGCTGGAAAAAATAATGACCCCAATTCCCAGGTACAGCCCAGCTATTTTATTTAATGTTCCTGACAGAGAAATCGTCCTTTAAGCTGGTATAGCCGGACGGACGGGCAGATTTCGTGGTAGCCCACCAGGCTCTCCTCCTTCTCTTCCTCATCCTCCTGAAACAGCTCCTCTCCAAACCCTGCGATGCAGCTCTGCCTTTACTGGCCTAGAGATTTTGCTTTTTCGCGTGTCTCTCTGGCGCGGGTTTTAGCGAGCATCCTCCCTCCCTGCGCTCCGAGCACGATTTCTCCCGCGGCGTTTGCGCCGCTCCCTGCGCGGGGCGGGCGCCCGTCCGGCGGGTAAGGCGTGCCGGGCGCCGGGGGCACCGTACCTGTCCTCGGGCGGCCCGCGTCGCCACGAAGCCCCAGGTGTTGTG